TGGTTCATGCACTGCAGTGGTCTTCAAATATGAAAACGGGATTCCTTTTGGATGAAACCGCATTTTGCTGCAGGCCCACAGTGAACTGGGATGCATCCACCCACCCAACTTTATCTACGAGGTCAAAGGTTCATAGATAAGCACATTAGCACTGAGTTCTTGTTTCCTAGATCCTTTCAAGTTTTCTCTTTCTAGACACACAGAACAGGTGCTGTACTGCACCATATGGCAGCACGGGACCATCTGGCTTGCTAAATCTCATGATGTGTAGAACAGTCTTGTACTACCCCATAAAGGCCTAAGACATGATCATATCTCAAGGAAATGTAGAGAGTAGCCATTTGCATGAGTTTCTCCTAAAACAGTGCCCCTTTCCCAAAAAGGCTTTAGCTTATGCTCTTGAATTATGACAGGACATGCTACTTGAACAATAATGGTAGGGAAGACAAGGTAAAGTGGAAAAAAATAAATTATTTCTAGAAATAAGCAGAGGCAGTTTGACACCTGCCTACTTCTGTTAAGCCCTGGATGATCAACAACAACTCAAGGACGATGTGGCACCCCCTAATATAACAGGTATGGCTTATGGTAAACAGCTGTAAAAAAGACAAGGATATTTAATGAAAGCCTGAAATGTGAAGAACTGGACATGGAAGAAACATTATACTTCAAAAGAAAAGGCAGAATGGACAGTCTTTCAGACAAATATTTCATTAGCATGACATAAATTATACACTTCAGTCTGCATTGAACCATTTTTGGAGTCATAGTCTACATTAGACCATTTTCTCTCAAGACTCGCATCGCTCTCCTTGTTTATTCTCCTGCTGCACAGAACTCTTCCGTACCTCTCAGAGTGGTTTTGAACTGTCGAGTCATCTTTCCCTCATCTCAACTCTCCACAGCCCTAACAGCCGGACTCCAAATTCTGCTGCATTTTAGTCTTCGCTGAATCTCTCATCTATAACATCTTTTGCACTTGCTTGACATAGGCAAAATATATAAAACGGAAACAATGAATTCCATATTCATGAAAAAGTGTATGACTAAATGTTGCCAAATGGCCTGTGTTGTGTGGGAAGTCAGATGAGACTACTGCAGTGGTCTTTTCTGGCCTTTAAATATAACAAAAACCTCTTGATTCTGTGCTACTGACCCATGTAATTAGGTATAAAAGCATTAAGTAGCTTATATATACGGATGGTCTGGTGTTAAACAGAGGCTGAATTCCTGACTGCACTGAATTCAGAGATACGCCTACGAGAAAACATGATTTTAAGCCACACCAAAAGGACAGCTTTATGAAATCACACTTTGTTTTGAGATCCAAAAACTATTTCATATATCCATAAAACTTAAAAACCTGGAAGCCTCTCCTCTCCTTTCATAAAATAATAGCGCCACCTTTGAAAGGAAGGGGAAATCTTACATTAGGCTGATTGCTGTCATGGTACGAAAAATTGCCTTACTTAATTCAAAGTCGATTCAAACAGCTGTAAAGAGAGGATTCGATATGTCGCATTCTTAACTATGGGGATAAAGAATTTTTTCTATACAAATTTATCCTGAGCAATGTGATTATTTGGGTGCAGATTTAAGAAAAAAGCAAAGTTTATTACAGCAACGTTCAATTAGTTCCACAATAACCTGAATGCACTGTGCGTAATTTGCTATATATACGTAGGAGTATAGTTGTGCACCAGAACCCAGGGATGTTAGACCCTGTAGGAACACAAAGATAGGAGGATAAGGTAACTATCAGCCCAGATAGCCCTCTGTGTAAATAAAGTAAATGGTTTGACCTCAAAACTTAACTGCTAATACTCAGCATATGCAATTCTACTAGACATTTTTCAGCTGCCACAGCTTTCTGTGGAAATGTAAAGTCAGTAATCCTTTTGCATGGAGAAAGCAGAATGGTTCCTCTCAACAGTGCATCACATCCAGACTCTGCTGCATGGGCTGTCCTGGCTTCACTTTGTGCCCTGTGGCCTTATCCTATGCGATCTTTGACGCCATAATCTAGGCTACAGAACACCTCTCCTCTTCCCTGCTTGAACTGCCTACCTGACTCTCCTGAGATAGGACCAAAAACTAAAAGCAGCAGCCATTTTGTTGTCGATTTCGGTGAGGCTGGCAATAACTCCTAGAGGTCTCAAGCTTTCACTTCATACCTTTTTCCAACACAGGCTGCTTATAATCAGACTCCAATGTAAACTGATGATAAAGGAAGGAAGAACTTCAAATTATTTATGAGAGATGGAGCTTATACATTCTTTTCAAGTGTCATCAACAATTTGTCAGGGTAGGTGAATATTCACGGGCAGTGAATGAGAGCAATGAAATGCAGCTCAGAAAATAAGGAAGAGAAACTGTACCTGAATGCTTGGGCTTCCCTCCACACCACCACCTTCAGCTTTCCTCCCTGTCTCTGTCACACCTTCATCGGTCAAAGAACTCTTAATATTAAATCTCAACTCAGCTTGCCAGAGACTGAGGCTGAACACATTTTCATATTTTGGTTGGTGTTTCCCTTTCGGCTTAGATTTATTAACAATCCCCTTGCTATAAAATTCTTGGATGAAGGTAAATAAGGCTGTAACTCAAACAAATCTACAGAACAGTCTGCTGTGAAAAAAGAACTGGATTTCTGATAGCAAAGACTGGATAGACTAACAATGATTTTTTTAAATTCATGTCCAGAACACAGAACACATATTTTTTAATTTTAGTGAGCAGAAGTCACAAATATGAAAGGGCGAAAGGCACAGACTACAGAAATTCAACACTAATAGTAATTTTACATCAAAATGAATCACGCATCTCAGCCTCATCCAAAGAAATAGAGGCCAGCAGCTAATCTCTGACCCCCTGGACAGATTTCTCTAATTGGTGTCATTTTGTACCAATCAATATATGGCTATTATCTAATAAGCAGTTCTACTAATTACAGAAAACAAACTGTACCACCTAAAGTGCTACAGCATTGCATATTTTTCCATGAGTGCAAACGTTAACTCATGCACTGCTTACATTGCACTACCCTAACTATTTACCGGAGGAATGTACTAAAATTATGCTGTTACTCTTGGAGATTTAGTTTACTGAATGAATCAGAAGCACACACCTTTTTATTTAGTTGCAAAAAATGAAACAAAATAAAAACTTGCCTTGATCAACAAATAAACCTTGTAGTCAACAAATGAAAGTGTCAATAGCAAGTTATCTGATTTCCTGTCCTCTCCAGAGCACATTACTAGCCTTTCCATCCATGGCAGATGGAAGGAAAAAAAGCAAGACAAAGTTCTTCAAGTGGTGCTGATTTTTTTATTGCTAAGCAAGTGGTCAGCTCCTTGGAAAAGCTGCTCTCTTTCCAGTAACCTTTTGGAGTCGGTATTCACAGATGTAATGTGGGGAGTGACATGTCTGCCATTAGAAAAACCCTCAATATTTTGTGGCCATACTAATTCCTAAGTATTCCTGAAGGGCCCCAGACTACCGAGACCAAAAATGGGGTGAAACGAAGGGCAGAGAAACTAATGTCCCAAGATCTGCCAATACCTCTCCCAAAATAAGTAGCAGGATGGCAAAAGAGGAAAAAGAACAAAATAGGAAGCAAGATATGTGAATCAGCTGCAAGTCTCTCCATAAAAAAGAAGTCAGTGACTCTCCCATCACTCCTTTCCACCTTGCTTTTCTGTTTTGAAGCTCAAACACACCAGTCAGCTGTACAGTTTTACCCCCTTGATGATTTAGCAATAGACCAGGAAAGGCCTTCAACCTGTACCATCATAACCAATAGAAGAGTTTTCTTGAATTCACATGCACAAGTTGATCTTTATGGGTAATAAACAATGCTAAATAAACACAGGCTTAGTCTTGTCAAGTACATATTAGGTATTGAATTTTATACAAGTTGCCCCTCTGACTTCAGCAAATTGCATGTACAAGACACCACACTGCTTTATGGGAAGGTTTTGTGCAACTTTAAAAAAAGGAAAAGCCCCATAGAAATGCCATGGAGTTATATAGAAATTACTGTGAAAACCTATGGAATTTTTTAGATAGACTCTTATTTTAAAAACATGTTAAAATATTCTACAGAAATGGATGTAACAGATATTATTTTTATTAAACATGACAGCATGATTCAGTGTAAAATTGGAGCTTTTCCATTAGCAAGACTCATCCAGAAGGCCAACCTGTAGTTGCTGTCCTAGACCACTCACTGTATGGCATACATAATACTATATATACAGTATACGTGTGTGTGTGTGTGTGTGTGTGTGTGTGTGTGTGTGTGTGTGTGTATTTCTGTATGTATGTACAAACACACACTCCCATATTTTGGTCTGTTATACAAACACACTGCCCAACAGCAACTGCCAGCACACAAGCAGCTTTACATCAGAAGGGAAGAGGTAATTAAACTATTACCTACAGTAGCTGAAATGGTGTTGCGCAGCAGGCATTAATTTTGGCCAATCCAAAGGAATGTTTAAAAAAGAAGTAAAAAAGCATCCTGTAGTCTGTGAAGAGCTAAAGCAACTTCAGGTTCCAGTTTGTGATACAGATTGGCATTCAGAGAACAGCAAGAAGATAGGAAGGAGGTAAGAGAGATTAACATCATTAGGAATGCTGGAGAACAAACAGCAACAGCATTGAATTTTATCCAGAGAGGTAAATCAAAACCTCTTAAGTAGCAATGGAAAAGTACAGAAATAGAATACCAGTATTTAAACAAGGTCATTTATAAGAGAATATTGGTAGCATATTTTCAACCAAGTGCCGTAGGAAAATTCATGAATATTATTAGGGGTATTTACATGATCCACTTTCTTCCTGTACAATGTTTGTCTAATATAATGAGATCTGGATTGGCTGAGTATAATACAAATTTTAGAGTGTTATGCCTGAATCTGATCATGCATGTTAAAAAAAAGAAAGACAGAAAGAAAGAAAATGGAGCATTTTTAATGCATGTATTACTATGTGTTAATATTGACGCTCAATTGCATTAGTACAGGAGGTTATTGCTACTGAATTAGCAATACTTACAAATTAACAGCACTAGATGTCTCACAGATTACATAGACATCTCCTGCACAAATATTGTTTTGATTCTTGTTTCTGTTCAGTTCAAGGCCATGACATTCTAATTTCATTTGAACAATTCAAATCCTACTCTGTGAGGCAGACAACAGAGGAGCAGTATGACCGATGGAAAATGGATTTGCTTTATTCACTGAAATTGAAGTGAAAATTACTTTTGTCTCACTACATTTTAATATACCTCCCAATGAATATACATACCAGTATATACATATATGTATACACACACATTTATAGATGCAATCTATTACCATTCTAGATGCTAAAAGCTGATAAAATTATGTATTCAACTATAAAAAAAGACTAGATGGAAAACTTCAATTTTGTTTGCAAGCACTGCACAAACTTATGCACAGCAGTTTTCACTGAGAACAAAGCATAGAAGTCTGTTCTAATTTGAGAACCTACTCAGAAAATTCTACGAAGGAGTAGGCTTGCTTACAATATAAATTAGAGAGAACTCTCTTTAAAAAGGGAGACAAGTCAACAGCTTGTTAATTGTGGTCTTATGTCTCTCTTTCCTCCTTTGAGTCTTGTTTTCCAAGTTCTCACTTCAGGCACCTTTTGAATAGCCAGACCAATTCCTAATAGCTACAAGTACATTCATGTCTCTCAAAAGTTTACTTGTTTGTGGGAGAATCCAAGAAATATCATTTCCATTCCTCTGAAAAGTGAGTGAACAGTTTTCTCCTCAAAAAGTACACTGCTTACATTTGTACTGCCAGACCACCTCAGATTTATAGTCCTAAACTAATGGCCAAACTGAGATGAAGTGAAAACTTTAATGTTGCAAGTTACAGTTCTGGAAAACCTTTCCCTCTAAAGGACGGACCAGATGCCTAGTTGGTATCAGCTACCATTGTCAGGCTGAAACTATGATAACTTACATCAGTTGCATTTGTCCCCAGAGAGAATTTATACCAGTTAAGGATTTGCTCCAGAGTTTTGCTGCCCTGTCACGGTCCCAGTGGCTGCAATCCCAGGAAGGCTTGTCTTGCTTAACAAATATAAACAAGCTGTGTATTTTCCTCCATTTTTCAAGCACTGACTTATGCCATCTCCTTTGTAACAGGAAAACCGCAGCTGACTTGTTTATACCTGCATTAAACACAATGGACTCAAGGTAATTTCTTAACAAATCCTTTATGAGCCTGGTAACATACCTGCCAGCCTTGATAACGGAAATATGCCATGCAAAGCACAATGGATCTGTAGGGAAGGACTAGAGAGCAGAGGATTTCCTGACGTAGACAGCAGATAATGTTTTCAGTGTGTACACTCAGAACAACAGAGACTGCTACAGGGTTAGAGCGGTCAGGAAGTCTTTAGGTCTAAACATGTATATTGATATTCTTTAATGGAGTGGGTTTGTTAGATAAATGTGTTATAATATGGGTCTTGGGAAACAGCAGCGAGTTGAAATGAGTTGACAGGTCTGTTAGCAAGGCACGATACATTTCTTCATCCTTCCTGGAAATAGAGAAATGAGACTAAGTTAGATTAGAACTGACTCTACATCCAACTGTGGTAACAGCGAAGACAGCCCTACTACAGTAGAGGTTACAGTAGTTCAGATCCAGTATCAATTAAGCCAGTGAACTGATACCTAGCTTCATTTTGCCTCAGGTTTGCATGGAGTCTTGGAAGAAAGATTTTTTCCTCCCTCTCCAGTAAACTTACTACGCTGCCATCCATAGTAAACACTACTATGCATTTTAGTGAAGCATAATCACGCCTTTTGGGAGAGGTGAGGAAATGATAGTCATTCAACTAAATGATATTTAGACATTGTTCTCCTTTGAAAAGAGAAATCCTTTCTTCTGAAGCCTGTGAGAAACAAAATGTTAACATCAGATATGCACATCTTGATCTGAGTAAGAGACCAAAAGTTCAAAGAAATCCTCATTGACTTATCATCCAAAGATATGGGTTAAAGATAAACGGGGGAAAGACTCTTACCTCACTTCACTAGGTTCACTGAACAACATACTGAAGAAAATGTAAGGTGGTGTTAATAAAATGATATTCTAATATCACTTGTAACATTTGCTAACATATTCTGCCAGGATTGGCCATTACAAAACTGGCTGTGCCTAGAACTACCTTTTCCACATTTATCAATGCTCTAAAGTAATGATTTCAAAAAGGGGATATACCAAAGAAAGAAGAACAAAGATTAGGCATACATAAAGCCAACCAGGAAATACAGCTGTCCAAATACATTTTGGAGAGAGGCAGAATGCAGGGATGGAATGGAGTCTTCCAAACAGACTTAGCCCAAGCCAGGAGTTGCAGATTGAAACTATCTTTGTTATGCCAACATCAGGTATTTGCATGTTGTCCCCTGCTCCTAAAGGTATTCTGTCTTTGTAATGCCCTGTTATATAATTTGTGTTAAACATAGGCATACATGCTGTTAGAGATAAGCTAGTATGATGATATTTATAAGCTCTGCCTGCACCATAGTTGCTACTGCCAATTTCACACCAGCCCTATGCTCAGTCTTGCTTTACTCATCGTAGAATGATCAGTTAGATAGTCCAAGCCAGTTCAAGGTATATGAACAAAATTTTACCTTCTCCTTTCCAAACAAGTCTATATTTTCATTAAAATCCCATATAGAAAATCTAATGCACTTTCCCATTGCCAATAGTAGCTGTGCACCAGAAGTAGCCAAGACACTGGAGGAGAAGAGCCACTATGTAAAACATACTGAAGCCTAGTCTGTTCTGAGCTTTAAGTTAACACCTTCAAAAGTGCTGAAATAATTTTGAAAGCATAAGTCTCCTAGGAAGTGAATATGACTTTGACACCTAAGTCACTTAGCTACTACTACCCTTACTCCATTTCAGGCTGACTAAAGGTATCATGTGAAGAGTGAAAGAGTTCTCATTTCCCTTTTACTGTAGGACTCAACAAAGGATATGCTTTTTCAGAAAGTTTTTTATATTCTCCTTGTTTTATAGTGTTACTATTTCAGAAATAGCAATTTCTCTTCCATTCCTTTAAAAAAAAAAAAGACTATTTTAGATTTTTTAAAGATATCTCTCTAGTCTACCAGAGGTGTTTTTCTTCCTTCCAAATGTTCTGCATATTCAAAATACATGAAAGGAATCAATGATCCAACAGTTTCAATGAAAAAAGACAAACAAAACACACCACTTCCTTATCTCTGATCCCATGAGCCTAATCATACTTTAGCTATCTGTAAGTATCTTTCAGGCAGAAGAGGGCATACGTGCATGAGTGCATATGCACATGCAGGAGGAAGCTTTAAAAAAAAAAAAAAAACTGTCAGGTGCTTTATGATAGGAACACAGATATTACCATCTGCCATCAGACAAAGTCTGTATAATCCAATCTTGAATCTCTGGGAAGAATCACTGCCAAACACTTCAGAAGAAAGCATGGAGCCATTCAGTAGACAAAGTCAGCAGGGAATAATTCTGCCCCATGTCATGTCATCTTCTATGTAGTTCTCTGAGAGAATGCCCAAAGAATGAGGTAAAACAACTCTTTCAAAATTGGTCACTATTAATGATATTTCTAGTTATTCTCAGCTTACTATACTCCCATTCTCAAAACAATCTTGTGAAAAAACAGCTTCTAATTTAAGCAGCTGTTACATTTCAACTTCCTGAACTTAGAATTTCCCAAGCTGTAACGTCAGTCAAAGATTTTGCTTCCTGTACAGCATGAGAAGTTCCAGCTTTATAAATGTATGTGTATCAAACCACAAACAAGGGACAAATCTAGCAGTTTTAAGTTCTGTTTTGTTCCTGAGGCTTTATTAAATATTTTTTCACTTTAAGCCAGTGATTCACATTTTCTGTCACTTAAAAACACCCATGGAGATAACTCACAAACTGGTATTCCAGACACTACCATAAACTTCTTTCACACCCTTTTACCCACTCTTGCGGGTATTTATTGGGTGCACACTACAGTATTTTGGTGCCAGCACTGGAAATTTGGGGTTCAAAACCCACCCTACATGTATTTTTCTATTTGAAGTATGTGTAATATTCTTTTCAATCACAGCCCTTTGTTCTTCTTTTAACTACAGTGATTACACCTAGCATAAAGTGTCTGGTAATTCTATTATCTCTTTAGCGCAGCACGTTTCTTCTCTGACTCTTCCTCAGACGTCTCTTCTTTTCAGAACTAGTAGCTACTTCCCCTTTCCAAAAAAACTTTAATTGCATGCAAAGTGCAAAAGCTAAAAAATGCTGTGTTCCTTAAAGCAATGGTATGGCCTTCACAGAGTTAACTGTGATACTGTTCCCTTTTGACATCCCCTGCATCTGCAGCCCCACAAGTAAAACTGTACATGCTTTTCCAAAACTTTTTATCTTACGCACTGGTATCTAATTTTCTCTTCTGCATTGGGAGCAACGCAACTTGAAGAGAAACAAAACATATCCATTGTGTTTCTTGGGTCAAGCATCAATAATTTAAAAAAGTAGCAATATATCTCAGACTAAAGCACAGCTGAGTTTAAAAGTTACTGCATTTTGTATTATGGAAGAAGGCAAGTAAAAACCTAAGGAAGACAGGCTTTTGCCAAAGAAAAAAGGTTTATCTCTTTTTTGTTTACAACTTTCACTCTCACAAATTTAATCTTTGACAACTCCAGAGTTCACAGCACACTGCCAGCTGCCACTGTGGCATCTGCTAGGGAGGGTGGAAATAATTTGCAGGCTACTGACAGCTGTTGTGAGCTGCAAGACTGTCTTTCAAGAGGGGACACAGGAAGAAACTTTATACCAAAAAGCTCTCCTCATACTCATCCTCTGTTATTAAAATCTGGCATATTCTCAGTAAAAATAAATAATTTTCTCACTAAAAGTAGCCTCATATTTTTAAAAATAAGGTCTCAGATCAATCAGCTTTTGCAATTGGCAGTGATGGCCCCGTAGCATTCATTTACTTCGCAGGTGTCTGGCTACAAGCTTTGCTTTTGTTGTTCTGAGATCTATGTGCCTTACACATATTAGTGAATTTACCTCACATCATTTCTGTGAGTAAAACCCATCATTCTCATCTTACAGATGGAAAAATAGGGCCTGGAGAAGTTACGGACAAAAACAGCAAATGGGCATCAATATGTCTTAACTTTGTTTTCAAAGAAGTCAATAGGAATCTTTGATTTCAATAGCAGAGTTAGGCCTACACTAAGTGCTTCTAAAAATCACACCAGAAGTGAATTGCCCAAAGGAAATCAATAGCAAAACTAGGAACTGAACTCTGACCTCCTGAACTTCAGCCTAGTGATTTAATCACAAAGCTATCCTCTCCACAAAGCCACAGTTGCTTCTATAATGAATGGCATTACAGTGTACAGTTTAGCTTTCAGTGGGATATACCTCTATATGAAACCGCTTTCAGCACTTATTCAAGGTCTGCATTCTCTTGAGAACAGAGTAGGAATATAAATCCCAACCTAGCCGTTCAAGTCAACCTCGTATTTAGAATTTTTTTAAGACTACTTATATAAAAAAAGAACCTGTGAAAATTCCAAGAAGGTGAAAACCAAACCATACCAACCAAAATCAGTTAATTCATGTATTTCTTAGATAATTAGTGTTATACAAGAATGGTTGAAAGGCACTGCACACAAGTGGACTTCTTGTATGTTTAGATGATGCTAAGGTACTTCAAAATGGTGGTATTTGTCTACTCAATTACTCTGTCACCCCAAAATAGCACAACTACCTAAATCAGCACATTCATAAAGACTTACTCTTCCTTGTTCTTACTGCTCTAACTAAAGAAAAGCGTAGTTTAACACGCTGGATATACTCTTGCATACATCCAATCACGGAAAGAGTTCATAAGTGTCTGTACAATCCAATTCCAGAATGCGTGGCTGTGGCAAGCACTGAGTGAAAAAGTATATTGTACAGTAGGCTAGGTGATCAGTCACCTGCAGTGCAGTCTGATGAATTATTTACTCTCTACTGGTACATAACTGATAATTTGGCTCCAGAAGTGTCAGTTATACCGCAGACTTCCCATCCGGGTCCTCTACAACCCTACGCTCTCATTAAGCTGGTAATGTGAATGCTATACAACTTACACTACTGTGAAGAAAGGAAGCTCCTCAAGTTGAGTAAAGGCCTCTCAGATAATTCTATTTCCAGTACACACACTCCGAATGCTCACATCAAGATCTTCCAGTGCACAATCAGCAAGGGTTTACAGCTACTAAAATACCGCTCATACTCTGTACATTTTCTTCAAATAAACTCAAGGATGATGGGGTTTGGAAAGAACAGACATCTTACTACTGCCTAATATATTTCTCAGTAAGAAGACTAGCTAAAATACCCAAAGAATCAATAATTAAATATAATTTTGGTTGGCACCTTGCTAATTAAGCAAGTCTCTATCCAAATATGCTTTTCCAAAGACAGCCCTTTTGCACAGGGAGCCCCTCCATGTGCATCCTGTGCCTAAAATAAATAAAA